TTGTCTGCAGAAATTTGGAAGAAAGCCGTTCACTTTGCTTTCAGCTGAGGGAAAAAAAAGATCAAGTAGGAAGGAAAAGTAGAAAGAACAGCAAAAGTCAGACTTTTTTTTTTCTTCAAAAGATCTAAGCACTCACATTAAAGATCGTTGTAAAAATAATTTCCTAACTTATACATTTCCCTTAAATCAAATGCTGTGCTTGCCTCATTGAGGTAGCCTGAAGATCGTAAGGATGTTTTTAGGACCACCAACCAGGCCCACAGATTACCTTGTGAATCTAGGAAAACAGACAGTCACTGTTTGCTGTATCCGACAAAATCACTGCTAACTCCAGTGTTCAGATCAAAGAAACAAGTTTATTTCAGCATAGGTACCCCAGAAATCAACTGAGAGTGAGGGGCCAATGGACAGGCTGCACGTAATCTACACAAAGACTGTCTCATTACAGTCTTTTATACCCAAGATGATTCTGTACTTTTATCAATACCTTTGTCCTCTGATTCTAATGAAGGTTCTAATAATGAATAATAATAATGTTTTATGAACAAATATAACGTTCTGCATTGAACCCCAAATTATAAAACTTGTTTACTAATTTTATCATTTTATTATTATTAATAGGGAAATGATATTTTTCTGGGGCTTTGGGGACTTCCCTTGTTTATTTTGATTATATTTACCTGGGTCATTGTGACTTTTCATTGTAACTTCATGCTTGTTGCATACCAAATATCAGGAACATTTCAAGAGTTGAATAAGAGGATGCATGAGAAGCTAAATCTGAATTGGCCAAATGGCTTTATTTTGGACTTTGTTCTTTCAGCCCTGAACTCTTTGCCCACCATGAGCCTGTTCTCTCCCTCCAGCCCCAAGTTACCCCTAGATGCTGGGGCCATCTCTGCCCTCTTCCCCCTCCCCCCTCAGTGCTGCAGCCAAAGGCTGGGAGGGGGTAAAGGGTTTGGAGCAGGGTGGCTACTTACTGGTCTGCTGACAGGCAAGGTAATGGAGCCCCAGCCCTTCTGGCCACTTCCCTTAGTAGTACAGCTGCCCCTAAGATAGCTGTCCCCTGCTATTTCGCTGTCCCCAGTGGCTGCTACTCATATTGTGTCCCTCCGAACAGCAGCCCCTCCTTTTGCATGTTATGGAAAACTGTCCTTTTCCCAGGGCTTCCGATAGTCTTGGCACAACCAAACCCTGACCTTGGTTTAAGTTATGATAAGAGGAAGCTGCATACCAAATTTGGTGGTCCTAGTTCTTACCATTTAGGAGGAGTTCTTGAACTAATGAACTTGCAGATGGACACACACGTTAAAATATATATATAGGCTAGCCAGTGTGTGTAGGGGTGTATGTATATGTTTGATTAAATATACTTCAACCATTTACGCGAGGTAAATTCACCTTATCAGTGTCTCTACTCCTTATATTTATGAAGGGAGATGATCTCCACATTCACGAATGGGGAACCGAGATGGTCCATGCCAGTGATAATGGGAGAAGAGAAAATGTCTGTTAACCTATGGGTCTGTTCTGTGAAACTATTTGAGAACTCATATGCTTAAAGAGTGGAAAGCTTTCCTGTGCTCAGTTGTCCTGTGGCTCACTCACCTCTTCACATACCGTGTACAATATGGCAGTGTGGGTATACTGCAGAGCTTTAGAGAACTGGATTTAGCAAAAGCCAGATAATCTGCATTGCTTTCTTCAGGGCAGCTTGTCCCACCCACATCTCCAGGTGAAAGGTACAAGCACAGAGAGGATCAAGGTGGGGAAGAAGCAGCAAAAGCAGGGCACAGCCTTAATGGCATCTTCCATGGAGTTGTGTGTCCTGGGCAGGGTTGGGACAAGGTGGTTACATTGGTTCTGCTTTTGGTGGCAACATTCCTTTATGTGCCCTCTTGCTAGCAAGGGTCTCCAGCAGCAACAGGTACTGGGGGGAATCTGATCAGAAGCCATGCTGCTGTGGGCTAAGAAGACATTAGAAGTGATAGAGGGGCTTGAGAACCAGTACAGAGACACAGGATCTATTTACTGAGGAATCAGCCACTATGGGTGTTCCAAGATCAGCTGAATCACCTGCTGCTTCCACTTGAGGAAGGTGAAAACTCAGCCTGTTCCCAGTTGAATATGAGAGTGCAGGTCCGTGGTGCCTCCAGTACCTGATGCAAGAATTGCTCAGATAGGGGGAACAAGGCCTGTGATTCAGTTATTGAAAGTGCTCTGAAAATACACTTCACTGATATTTTTTTTCAGGTTTGGAAATGGGAACTGCAATAAATGTATTGGTGAGCAGGGGGTATAACCGGCCATCTCAGGTCTGGCAGAGTGGCCAGTCTGCTGCCCCTGCCTGTAGTGTGAGCACAAAGGCTGGGGGCACTGTTAAGTACTGAAGTGAATTAATTCAAGGCTTTGAATAATAAAAAGTCCTGTCAGTCACTCTTTCAAGTGCTGTCCCCAGAAAATTCCAAACCGTAAGCTGTGCATGATGATGAGGTACTGTATTGCTCCCTACATCCATTCTAAAAGGTTACCTAGTGTCACTGGAACTTGTGTAAATGCCTGCCTCTCCTTTATTAAAATGATTTTGTAACATTCTGCAGCAGCATTCAAGTGAAACACTGAGGCCCACACCTGTCTCACCAGGAAGGGAGAGAATTGGGGGTATTTTATCTTTCTTCAACCATAGAAGAAAACCATTATCTGTGACCTTTTCTGTCCTGTGCTGAAAATGCAGATCTGACCCAGGGAGAGCTTTTTCCAGACCTGCTGAGAATTGTCTTGTGACAGGCTGTCCTTCTCACCATAGGTGTTTTGTTTCTGCATTTATCAGAGGCAGCACATTCCTTTCTGGCTATGCTATTTGCTCTTTCCAGAAATAGCATAGATATGTGAAGTGAAAATAAAAGTAGAAAACCTGAAATAGTATATGCCTACATATTTTGATAATCAACATTAGCTGGGAATGCTTGTGATTTTTAACAGATGGCTTATGACAAAACATGCATGAATGTTCCAAGTTTTATTTTACATTGCCAGCCATAAGTTGCAGATGACTATTCTTACTTTGTATATATTGTATTTGCTAGTGTCTGGGTACTAATGAAGAATATATTTTTTTATTAACGTCTGTTTAAAAGCTGACTTGATAGTTTGGGCATGTGGCTTCAGCAGCAATACTAATAAACACTGATGATAGGTCTATTCAGGGTGGTAACTTTTCCATAATCACTGATGTGGAAACATAATGCAAATATAATAGAACAATTATTTACTATAATGAACACTTACATACAAGAAAACAGATATTTTTGCTGCTTTGCTTTTCCTTCTCTCACCTTTAAAATGCGTGGTTAAATATTAATGTTGGGAAGTAGATATTTTCTCTTGTGTTATTGCAAAATTGCTTTTATTTTTAAAAAATGAAGTGCAAGAAATAAGAGCATGTTAAAAATGTTAGTACAATAGACTTTGTTATTGAGAGTAAATTAATTATGTTATTTTTCAACATGTTGCAGGTGTGCTATTGTCTGTAGGCAGCACATTTAGGGTCTGCTTTCATAGCAGTTTGGAGCAAGCAGGAGCGAGCCTCCCAGAACTGGTCAACAGTCTTAGGCTAGCTGGGTTCATGCTAACACTCTAAAAATAGTGGCACAGACTGGGAATGTAAAGCTTTAACTAGTGAGCCTCACCCTTAACAGGTGAGGCTTACACGTTAAGGTTAACTGGTGGATATGGAACAGCTCTGTGTCTGCCACAGGCAGGGGGCTCTACCAGCCTCGCGGGAGTGAGCCTGCCGCAGACGGGCTGCTCCAGCATCCCAGCTGGAGCAGACTCTGTCTGCGGCGGGCCCAGGTGCCCCACAGGCAAGGACTGCTCCCACCAGAAAACGGGAGCAGCCTCTGCCTGTGGTGTGCCCTGGCTGCTCCAGCCCGGCCAATGCAGCCTCTGCCTGTGGCAGTGGGGGGCTGCTCGCAGCTCACCATTCCTGTAATCGGTTAACCCATTAATTAATCAGTTAGCCAGTTAAACAGGATTTTACATCCCTCGTGTAGACAGCTCATTGAAGTTGTGGCTCAGACCAGAACTTGACTTCTAAAGTCTATGGAGTGGGATGGGGTCCCATGTGCTCCAAAATGCTGCAGGGACGTACCCCAACCCAACCCAATTCAGGCACTGCCATAAAAATGCAATTTCCCTTAGCAGTACTGAAGCAAATGGTTGTTTGTAAGTAATAGATCTAAAATTGTTCATAATAGAGGGGCTAACCCATACAAACAAAGCTAATCTCTTTTTAAGATGCTGGTGATGTGAACATTGTAGATTAGTATAAATGGGCCAGAAGTATTATAAATATTTGGAAGGC